TACATGTGCCTGTCATCTATAAAGCTGCAAATCACAAAGCAAAAATATTATTACGTATATTATTCTCAGCATGCCAAGTGGGAGAAAAACACCTAAAAACCTTCAGTCTGTTTTAAGATAGACCAATAGTTTTACCAGTCAGTTCTAATCGGTAGCAGTGGGACCATTTCTTATATGAGGCTTGTGCAGTAGAATTTATGTATTGCCAGGACAAAAGCTAAGTGATAAATATGACATGTGACAATGTCACTGACTTCCTGAGGAACCACTTTGCATCGCTTACAAAATGGCAGAGAGCCAAACACAATATATATCTTTTTACATTACTGTCAGTTAACTTGAAATACACACGTACGTAAGTTAGTATTGACCCACCAGATTGTTTTTTAACTGGTCCCACACCTCTCCCCCCATCCTTTCTGAAAGCGTGCATTGGTTCCACATGCAGAGTTTCCCCATGTTCCTCGTGTTTGTAATTTCGGGGCGTCCCTCTGAGTCCGAGTTATACCACGCTCACTCTCAACTGCTTTTTACACGGGGAAAAATGTTGCTTACTATAAGGTTGTAGCCACCTATCATTCATTTAGTCCTTTACATCAGACCAAAGAAATGAGAACTCGGAAGAATATGTTTTTATTAAAAGTCCAGTTACTCAGTACAAAGTACTAAAGGCCGGGGATGATACTGTGATATCAAATGAAGAGTATCATTACCTGAGCCCTGTGCACCTAAAGTCTGATTGTAAAAATAAACAAGCAAGAAACACTACCCAAACAAATAAAAAAACCCAAACCACCCCCAAAACAGAACAAAACAAAACCCCATTCACCTCTGGTCGTCTTAAACACTTCTGCGTCATCCTTAATCACTTTGCTTTAGAAATTTAGCTTTTTAAAATATCATTCCAAAAGCACGTACGGAGCTCATACAAAGCTCTACTTTACGTAATAGTATGGATTGTTATCTCATGAGCATGACACATTATTCAGAAAAGATAGTAGGCTGAAAAACAAAACAGAACAGCAGATCCGTACAAATAACAATCCCCAAGAAGACTAAGAGGCACAGAGCATTTTGGTGCCCAACAAGACAGTACCAAGGCAATGCCAAAAAACTACTTGAAAAAAAAAACATAATTCAAGCTGGGCACTGTTGTTCAGTGCTTAGAGCGCGACCTCACAGACCAGGGGCAGCGAACCTTGGCTGGGCCTTACTAAGAAACAAAATACACAGTTCAGGCAATTGGTTGCCGAGGTTATGCAATTTGACTGATTCCACCCCACATTCATATACAGGAATTCTTCTGGCTGGTGTCATATTGCAGACATTACAGAAACGTTTCTGTCAGTGACGCTGCTCTGGACTGCCTGCTGTAGCTATTAAGTGGAACTCCAGAATTCATCCTGTGTGCCTTCTGAATGTGAAAAAGTCACGTGTTAATTTAACTCAGTATAAAATTGCAATGTGCTCCCCACGAGGAGCATCTCAGCAGTGCCTTCCCAGTGAAGCCAGGTCTTATCACTCCACTAAGCTCAGAATTGGTGCTAATTCTGACAGATGCTGAAACTAAAGTCTGTAGTTTTATGTTTACTCAACAGAAGGCCTTTTCCCAGAGATGGTGTGACTCAGTGGTTTAAACAACCCAAATAAAAGAATAGACAGAAGTAAGCTTTTGTAGTTGCTGGAGCTACAGTGAGAAGGCTGATCCAGGCTGTGCGTTCGCATCCGATAGCAATGTCCTTCCTGCGGACAGAAGTCACGTCACTGAGTTGAGTCAGCAATGGATATTTTTACATATTTATTAGAAAAAAAATTCCTGAAGAGTTCAACTGGGCAATGCTGTTAACCTAGTTTGCTTAAAATGTACAAAAATGCAGTACAATTTACAAATCTTTAAAATATTCTAAAGTCAGATTTTGTTCTAATTGGCTATATAATTAGAGCAAATTAATGAGGCCTTTTTTTAAATGAACAATAACCTGAAACCTTAAGTTTGGGCTTAAAAGCAATTCTTGAACTTGTCATAAATATATGATACCAATTGAATAAAAAGACACAGACTATAAGTTTGAGCCGTACTAACTTCTTATATCTTGGCAGAATATACTCTCTTTTTAAAAAGTACCTTGTAAAGGCTGGGGGCAGTAGCTCATGCCTGTAATCCTAGCACTCTGGGAGGCTGAGGCAGGTAGATTGCTTGAGCTCAGGTGTTCGAGACCAGCCTGAGTAAGAGCAAGACTCTGTCTCTAAAAAACCAGCTGGGTGTTGTAGTGGGCGCCTATAGTCCCAGATACTTGGGAGGCTGAGACAAGAGGATTGCTTGAACCCAGGAGTTTGAGGTTGCTGTAAGCTGTGACACCACAGCACTTTACCCAGGGCAACAAAGTGAGACTGTGTCTCAAAATAATAATCATAATAATAATCATAATAATCATAAAGTGTCTCAGTGCCCATAGTACAGTGGTTACAGTGCCAGCCACATGTACCGAGGCTGGGGGGTTTGAGCCCAGCCCGGGCCAGCTAACCAACAATGACAACTGCAACAAAAAAAATAGCCGGGCATTGTGGCAGGCACCTGTAGTCCCAGCTACTTG